GCCAGCACAAGTTTGTTGCAGGTAGGTCTTGCTTGACCAATCTCCTTTTACAACCAGGTGACCTATCAACTGGACAAGGGAGAGGAGATTGATGTCATATATCTCGACTTTAAAAAAGCCTTCCATCTGGCATCCCATGATCACCTCTTGGCAAAACTGGCTAACAGCAGCCTCGGCCTCACCACGATCCGCTGGCTGGGGAACTGGCTCCGTGGTAGAACCCAGAGGGTGGTGGTTGATGGAAGTCCATCATCATGGTGCGCTGTGACCAGTGGGGTCCCTCAAGGCTCTGTCCTTGGGCCAACACTATTTAACATCTTTATTAATGATGTGGACATTGGTATTGGAAGCGGACTGGCCAAGGTTTGCCAATGACACCAAACTCTGGGTAAAGCATCCAAACCTGAGGACAGGAGGGTGATCCAGGCAGATCTTGACAGGCTCAGGAAATGGGCGGACGAGAACCTGATGGTGTTCAACACCAAAAAATGCAAGGTTCTCCACCTTGGGAAGAAAAAGCCACAGCATGCTTATAGGCTCGGCAGTGCTACGCTGGCTAGCACTACCAACGAAAAGGACCTGGGCGTCATGATTGACAACAAGATGAACATGAGCTTTCGATGTGATGTTGCAGCTAGTAAAGTGAGCAAAACGCTGGCTTGCATCCATAGATGCTTCTCAAGCAAATCCTGGGACATCATTCTCCCATTGTGCTCGGCCTTGGTGAGGCCGCAGCTGGAGTACTGTGTCCAGTTTTGGGCTCCACAATTCAAAAAGGATGTGGAGAAGCTTGAGAGGGTGCAGAGGAGAGCCACGTGCATGATCAGAGGTCAGGAAAACAGACCTTATGATGAGAGGTTGAGAGCCATGGGACTCTTCAGCCTGAAAAAGTGCAGGTTGAGGAGTAATTTGGTGGCCACCTACAAGTTTATCAGGGGTCCTCACCAGGATCTGAGGGAGCATTTGATCACCAGAGCGCCCCCAAGGATGACAAGGTTGGACAGTCACAAACTCCTGCAAGACTGTTTCAGGCTGGACATAAGAAAGAACTTCTTTACTGTATCAGCCCCAAGGTCTGGAGTAGACTGCCACCAGAGGTGGTTCAAGAGCCTACTTTGAATGCCTTCAAGAGACATTTAAATGTTTATCTTGCTGGGATCCTATGATCCCTGCTGACTTCCTGCCCCTGGGGTAGGGGGCTGGATTCAATGATCTTCCGGGGTCCCTTCCAGCCCTAATGTCTATGAAATCTAAAGTGCCTTGCACAAACTTGGTTAGAGAAGTTTGCCCAACTCCTGTTGCCTCCAACTGCAGCTAAGTCTGTCAGGTTAATTAGTGCTAAATTCAATAACAAAACGTAAATTTTGTTATGTTGGTTTATGAAGAAATTCCCTCCTGGATTCTCCAGAGGGGAAAGAGCCTTGAGCAATGCAAGTGACATCATGGGAATGTCAAGGATGGGTGGAACAAACAAGAGCCTGATGAGCCGGGGCTGGAGCAGAGTGAACGAACCCTCTTCTCAGCCTCAGGAGAAGGCAGGTCCTCTAAGGTCTCCTTTTTCCCACAGGAGAAGCAGTCTCCAGGATGGATGAGACAAGCATGGAAAATAAATTCCCACCTCACTCCAGGCACAGGGAAGGAATTGTTAAGCACTGTATCTGGGCACTAGATGAACTGAAAATGAAGATTTGCCCCTACTGTACACTCCAGTTCATTACAGGGCTTGAGACAGGGCATGACCTCCCTTGGCTGGGTCTTGTCAGGTTAAGCCCCTTGGGGTCTAAGTGTTTGAATCAGCACTTACAGCTGTCTGCAATCATTTAAGGTTTGGACATCAAAACAACCAATTTCTGCCTGCCCCTCCCTACCCCTGGGGGTGACCCAGCTGCATCTGCTTCAGGGGGCAGGCGGGGACGGATTTCCATGGAGCCTGCACCACTGCAGCTGGCCCTGTCAATTAGTCAACTGTAAACAGGCAAGGGGGTGGGGGAGCAGAAGAGAGAGTGTTAAGGCTCATTAAAGGTAACTAATTGAAACCTGGTAAAGAATGGGAGGGAGGGAGTAAAAAAGAAAGGAAGAGAGAAATAAAAAGGTTGGTTTCCAGAAGGAAATTTTTAACTTTGGAAAAAACATGTAAAAGTCAGGCCTCGTTTATGTCAGAAAAGGGAAAAATCATTTACAATGCTCTGTTCATTTTTACTGTTGGGAAAGCAAAACAAGCAGTTGCTGAGGCCAGTGATCCCTGCGCAGTCACAGAGGCAACAAGGTGCGGACCTGTGGGTGGCAGAGTCTGGGTGTCAGTGTGGAATGGAGAGAGTAAAGCCATGCCTGAGATACCATGGGTAATCCCCCAGACCAACCACGCAGTGCCTTGTGCAAATAGGATAGGTTAGGAATAGCTGGAAAGCAGGAGCAGCGTAGCAGGGAATCCTATCTCTTTCTCTCCAGTGAAGGCAAAAGAAGCAGCAGTGGAGCCTGGCTGAGGTATCGGCAACAATGCCAGTCTGATGGGCTGGACGGGAACACGATGACTGGAACACAAGGGAGGTCATAGCGCTTGTGCTGATTAGGCAGGAATCTGTTGATCGAAACCATCACCACCAACCATCCAGGTTGCACATGGTGGAAATTCAGAGTGGGT